ATCACGTATATACACCGTATTCACAAATGGCGGACACACGGGAAAAAACTGGTGCCTAGTCATGAAAGCGAGGCGTTGGAGGGTAAACAAAAATTGCAAATGAAGACTTTCAGTCAACTTGCAGAGTGTTTAGCACGGATTCCACCTAAAATAACTTTGTACGGACTTCTTTTTAAATACAATTACGTGGGATGTCTCCTGCTTTTAATGTTTAGTATTGATTTGCTGTTTGCAATCAAAAGGGACGCGTATATCTTCAAGGAAACAAGATGATTTTGTAGGTTTCCGAAGCATCAGAAGCTCGACAAGTGGGCGATGGCTGGAGAAAAGCGGCAAACATGTTGGCCCAAACTTCGCATTAAAACCGAGTTCGAAAGGCAGCTCACTGCAATTCGGTAAAACAGAAATATAAACAATGCAAATCTTGGTGGCAAGAAAAAAAGAAATAAGCGATGGATATATGGCCTACTTGTTAACGCAAGAAACGTGTGCCATTGAACAAAACAGTTCAAATCGAGATGGAAAAAAGGAAGACAGGAAAGAAGCGGTGACTGAGGTTTCGTTGAAGTTATGTTTGGTGTTTATTTGCCAGGACGTTATTCTCTGGTCTTTATCGATGAAGGACATCAGTTAGAACTATCTTTTTGGTATAAATGCAGGAGCGATCGAGTGCAGTACGCTCAAAACTTCAACTTGTTACTCGGCAGACTCGGTAAGCAGGCCACATTTCATTTCAGCGAGTAATTTTCCTATTTCTTATCTTTGGCTGTTAAGAGTTTTAACTTCATGTTCCATAATATTTTAAAAGTGAAGAATACATAAATAAATAAAATGATGGTCTTCTTAAACGGATCCAGACTCGCATTTAATGATTCGGAACAGAAGCTTGCCTTGTTCAGTCCTGACACAAACATTGCCTTAAAAGTTTAACCTAGTAAAATGTGAGCTTTTTACCACTTTTTTACCAAGAGCTCTCCGAGATAATGCCGTAAAGGAGACCAGACAAATAGCAAGCCATAAGATTCACATACTAGAGCTTCTAGTTTTGATAAAATTATTTTATTTCGCAATGACAAAGAAATCAAAAGATTTTAAATTTGCACTGAATTTGCTAAGCTCTGCCAACGTACCTCTAACAATTTACTCCAAAGCGGCGGAATTAATATCATTCAAAGGAAGTTGTAAATATAGACATACATAGATATGTGTAAAATGACACTGACATGAATGAATGAGTCTCGTGAATGAATCTTTCACCCGCTCTCGACTTGACCTGTTTTGAGTAATGGCGGAGGTCTCTTCCGTTGACAAGTAGGCCATATATCCGTCGCTGATTTCTTTTTTTGTTGCCACCAATATCTGTTTTTACTTCTGTTTTACAGAATTGTAGTGAGCTGGCTTTCGTATTCGGTTTCACCGTGAAGTTTGGGCCAACATGTTTGCCGCTTTTCTCGAGCCATCACCCACTTGTCGAGCTTCTGAGGCTTCGGCAACCTACAAAATCATCCTGTTTCCTTGAAGATATACGCGTCCCTTTTGATTGCAAACAGCAAATCAGTACTAAACATTAAAAGCAGAAGACGTCCCACGTCATTGTATTTAAAAAGACGTCCATACAAAGTTATTTTAGGTGAAATCCTTGCTAAACACTCTGCAAGTTGACTGAAAGTCTTCATTTGCAATTTTTGTTTACCCTCCAACGCCTCGCTTTCATGACTAGGCACCAGTTTTTTCCCGCGTGTCCGCCATTTGTGAATACGGTGTATTGATCATATATCGCACAGCAAACTGCATTGCGAAGCACATTTCATTCTTTTTAACGCTCTAAACGTGTAAAATTTGAGCCTCCACCTTTAGTTTGTTGTTTATTTTCTCGAATTCTTTATAGTTATCGTCGCCTAATGTAACGGAATCCGGATTCAAGAATCCGGGAAATTTTTGCTTTTGGACTCCGGAATACAGCTCAACGAATCATGAATCTCGCAACTGAGAGAAATCAAGAATCCAAGTCAGTCCACTGAAAAATACTGGAATCCAGTACCTGGAATCTGGAATCCACGACGTGGAATCCAGAATCCAAGACTGTTTTGAATTCTCTTACATGGGGCGATCAGCCCTTCATAATACCTTAATGAGAGCATCGAACCGTCAGCATCCATGTTAGCTATATATCCAGCCGGGGCTGTCAATAGCTCCATATCATAAAAACCAGTCTAAACGAGCAATTTTTTAACTTTTAACTAATTTACAAGGGAAAAGTGTAGGGGCAACGTTCTAACTCATCATAACAGTTGAGCTGTGTCCTGTTAGTTAACTGAACACAATGGATTTTATTCACCTTTTTCCTGGGAATGGAAAAGGGCAATAAAAAACATTTCACACGAAAAAAATGGCACCATAACATGCACTTTCAGTCAACATGGTCTGACAAATGCTGCCGAAATTGAATGTAGTATGAATTGAATATAATAATGATTGTGGTGATAATGTTGACAATATGCTGTTTTCAATAATTACAAATTGGACAATCCATATTGTTACTAGTGGGAACAGTTGTACTGTAACTTTCGTTTTTAGCAAGAGAAAAAGGTAGGGACATTTCTGTAATGATAAAAGTTGAGCTGTATCTTGTTAGCTGATACCCTGGTCCCAAAGGTTTTACTCGAAATTTTTCTTCGCGAAAGAGAGAGCGAGAAAAACTCCTGGTACCAGAGGGTAGCTGGCTGACTGATTGTAACCAACATCACATGCGCAGTCATCGTCTATCCAAGCTTCATAGTTCATAATTGTTCACTATCGAGAAGCGCCATTCAGGCTGAGATTTTTCCTTTCGTTATATTCGAAGCATAATGCCAAAGGGGGAAAGATTTTTGGTAGCCTTGGGTGCTCATTGATCAAGGTACCAAAAGCTTATTTTTGGCGATGTCCATTTTAAAGATATGTAATCTCTTTAACAAATGGATTCCATGTTGCCGTGCGTCTGTTCAGTAACAGATAACAGATCAAGTCAAAATGTTGTAAAAACAAAGAAGTGGTACACTAGCCTCAGGCGAGTGTGTCACTATGCTTTTATCTCATTTTATCGTCTTCTGTGCTCTTATTATCGAACAGTCCCACGGCAACGTGGAATCTATTTGTTTTATACAATGATCAGAAAAGAAAAAAAGACCGATACACATACCTGCCTCGTACCGCTTGAATGTTGGACGATTTGTGCTAGTTTTCATATTTTAAGTCTCAAACGCTACTTTTCGTCTTTCAAGGGTTAACATTTTTGGGTTCAGTAAGTTTATATTTAACACTTATCGTTTTCACAGGTAAATTTTATTCAGCATGTCTCATTAGTGCTTATGTTGTAACTTATAATTATGATTTCGAAGCTTAAGCTGTAGCTGTTATTTCGTGTAAAAAGGTTAACTTAGTGCCTATACTGTTAATCTGTACCTCGTGCAATAAACTTGTGGCACGTCCACGCCAATCCGGATATGTTTGAAACCGCATTTTTTTTTTCACTTTTTACACCAATCGGCCTTCCGTCCTAACGAAACCAGTGAATCTGCTCACTGAAACGTATCTTTTTCAAACCGCTCTCCTGCCAGAGTGGTTTACGGCTCCTTTCACACCAGTATCCCGGTAAAAAAGTTATGCGGTTTTAAAAATGTCCGGATTCGTTTGGACGGATCGCGGGGGCCTCGATTTCGAAAGGCTCCCTCTAAAAGGCGTTGTGTTATTTGTGTTCATAGGTATGATAGAAATGTTTCCCATTCGGCTGGGCGAAGGGAAAGAGAGTAGAAGAGTAATTTTTGGATATGCATTTTATTGTTCAGTCAGCCAATTACAATAGTTCATCCAAGAGATTGTTGACTGCACACAGATTATTATGTGAAAGGCGAATTCTTAAAAGCCGATTGGCAGTGGACTTGGTTGAATGGTTTACTTATGCTATAATAAACATACTATTTGGTACAATAACAACAAAAAACAACAACAATCTTTATTTTTCCTCAATTCTACTATTTCTTTTACACGAAAACGCTAAACAAGCAGATGCCCCCCTTCATGCAAGATATGTTCTAAAATAAATCAACGGTTGCACTCTTACTTTTTATATTGGCTATACCTTGGCGGAGATTCAGAACAATCTATTTTGGCCGAAAACGAACTGCTTGTTGAAAGACGTCTATTTGGCGGTAACGTTTTCAAAAATTCGGCCCTAGACCTATCAGTTATCTCAATAAAATCTGTATTTTTGACTTAAATTTGTATGACACGCTTAGTACAGACACCGAGTAAATACAAACATTTTTTGGGTCCCCGTTTCAGGGTCGGTACTCACGGGCTTCGACTGCATAACATTATTATTCAAATACTGTGAGAAATATGTCTTTCATGCTTAAGCCTCTTAGTGTTTTCCATTGCATCTTCATTACACGCCGAGCCATTCCATAAAAAAGTATAGGGACGGCATTATTGGAATTTCCCTTCAAACCATGTTTGGTTTGTTAGCTTAGTTGGCAGAAAAACGGATTTTTTTTTAAACTAAAACTGTTTAATCTAAAGTAAAACGAAAAGTGTCCATAATCTATCGTTGGACCTCGGGGCAGCTCCTCCTCGTGTTGTTGAGTAGCCCCCCTTAGGCGCCGGCCTTAGGCCTATGCCTAAAGTCCCGGTGCTTTCAATTGTTTCGCGGGAATGTAGGAAAGGTGTATTAATTGAGTGTCTATTGGCGATTTCCCAGATTGTAAAATCAATGATCCTGAAAGATAGTTTTGAGCAATGATTTCCCAGTGTACACAAATCCTACTACTCCCACATAAACACCAAAGATAAGAATTAAAAAATCAAAAATATAATGGTACAGTTTTAGCACTTTCTTTTTCAAAATGAGATGGAAAAGAGCCGGTAAAATAAACATTGCCGTTGATCCAGTCAGACTTGAAATAAAAGCCATAAAGAGCGCAAAATGTGGGATTAAAATTGCTGGAAGGAGAGTAAGAAAGTTAGTTGCAACTCGAATGCCAATAAACCAAACAATACGAGGTATTTTGAATGAAAAACAATCTAAGGACACTGAATCTTCGATTATTTGTATGATAGTAATAACCAGAAAAGGATATGAAAAAACTACGTTCAAAATTAAAAAAAGCGTTGACAAGGATGCGAAGAACTCCCATGGGAAGGCTATTAGAGATTACTTCTTCGATGTTAGAGCTGAAGGAGAAAAAGGTTAACACTGAAAAAGTCACCTTAATAATGGCAGCGAACAAGCATGTGAGTCCGAGCATTGTGCGATATTGCGACTTGTCTTTCATACTTGCCTCAAGGCCAGGCAAAGTAGTGTGACAGAGATACATATACGAGATAATTGCCAATGAAACAGGTGCACCCTCTATATCCCACACCAAGATTCTTCCTGGGTTCCATGATGAATGATGGGCTATTCCGTAGACTAAAACAGCAACTACAGCTATAAATATAGCTATCACACTAATCAAACTCAACCATGCGACTCGAGAGAAATTCTTCAAAAATAATGTTGGAAGAACTACAGTGGCTGTAATAAACATACTTAATTTGTCGGACAGCGGTAAATCTGGAAAAATACCATTAGCAAGTGAAGCACACAATACAAGGTACAGAGAGGCGGAAAGAAAAAGATCGAGTAACTGGACTGTGTGGGCTATGGTACCACCAAAACGAGTGAAGCACGCTTCACCCAGTTGTTTGTAGTTGGATCTGATACGAACTCTCTCTCCAGCATCGTTTTCGTCGTAAAGACAGTCAATCAATATTGCTCCAGTATAGAAGCCCAGAAATGGAATGAAAACCAATGCTGCTACCGCCACTAGTCCACTCTGAGATATCACATATGGTAAGGCGACAATACTCGTACCCTCGATTTCGCCCATTAAGTTTATTAACGCCTTCCACAAAGGAGATTTTTTTGTGCCTTCATCGTCGTCTGCTGCTAATTCATCTTCTGCTATCGATGCTGGAGGTTCGTTTAGTTCTGGGTCACTTTTGAGCAAATGATAGCTGGCCGAATAAGTTTTTTTTGGCATTTTCAAACTTGAGTCTTCTTTGCGTCCTTTAGTCCTGGCGTTTGGCTTTTTGCTGAATGATCCGAAATCTTCAATGCAGCATTAATGAAGCACCCTAAAATTCATGTACAATTTAAATTAGATTTCAAAACACGTTTGGTTAAATAAAATAAAAATAACATTTGGGAAATCATTCTGAAAAAAGCGTCCTTGTCAGGATATCGGTAAAAAGTTAATTTGGCTCATTTCTCATGCGCTCAAAGAGTTGCATGCACAGGGGACACCTCCATTCAGTCCCGGGGAGGTACTTGGGTTCCTTTTGCAAGGGATGTGCCGCTGGCCTCTCAGAGCCCCTATAGACCCCATCTTAGTCACTTTTGGGCAAATATGTAATTTTCGCCATCCCAACTTAGTCACTTTCAATTTTTGTATCTACCCTATCGATATCAGTCCTTGAAATAGGTCATCCTAAAATGAATTGACCCATTGACCCAAGAACACTTTTTTCACTTACAATACAAACATTCTCGTAAGTTTGATAACCGTTAATATGAAGAACTGTCTTACCCCCAAAATCAGAAAATGTGCGACCCAATTCTAGTAACTCTATTGAAAATTCGACTCCATCATAGTCAATCTAGAATCCTGGACAAAAGTCCACGGGAGAGTACTACAATATTCATATTTTTCAGTCATTTCTCGGTTCCCTCTTAAAACAGTGCATCCTTTTCGAAATTTTCTTGCAGGTCTCCCTCCCCCCACCGTATACAAAGCTGAAACTCGGTAAAAATTCTGGATACACTCGCCCAACATTGTTTGTGGGGTAAGGGGAGGGGTTGGACCTGTGTCCATTGGAAAACGTTTCAGAAACGCAAAAGTGTCCCAAGACTTTTGTCCATGATTGCAGTCTTGAAATTGCGAACCATCCAGCGGCACTTCCCCATTAGCCTCTTATAGGGAAGTACCCCACCCTGGCATTCAGGGGAGACAAAATTTGGTCTCGGAAAAACGTCCCCATAATCTTTGCATCCGGACACATTTTCGGGCTCCCGAAACCTGCATGGGAAGTTTGACCTCCATTCAGGGGAACCCTAAGCACTCAAAAAGTGGCTGACAACAAAGAGGATTGACATCTTAAAGTGTACACTAATTACATGCCAACAACTCATGGCATAATCCTGGCACTAGACATGTATAACAATATTTCAAACTTTCCGAGACGAACCTAGCCTATACGAACAAGCCAAAGAATCTCTTTTGCAATTTTCACTATTTCCTTGATCTTTCTGAATGATTGTATCACAAGATTTGCTACGAAATATAACATCTTTTGTAGTGAAAGAGCCGAACAGTTTATCAGATCATAGTCCAATAACAACATGGCTTAAGGTTAACCGTCATTTAGATAATGATTCATCAAACGAGGCAATTATAAATAATTCTTTGACTCCTCTACCAAAACAGTTTTTTTGGGAAAACGATTCGTCACAAAAATTTAGAGCTACATTACAGTCTGTAGACATTCAAAGAATGATCCACGATTTTATGAATACTACAACAATCACGAGAAATGTTGACATGAACCTTCATGCTGTAGAAAATATTCTTATTTCAACCGCCAAACGCTGTTTGAAGATCAAAACAGCAAAAA